ACGTTAACTGTAAAAAATCTCCCACATGATAACAATCATTATCCCCGTTCGACTATTTCTTTTCACAGTTAGCATGGCATTTATTTATTACTTTATTAGGTACTAGCTAATCCAGTGCACTTCATTGCCCGCTAAAAATGGCAACTCTATATGAGATACATAAAATGTTTGAACTAATTATGAAATTGAGTGATTATTATTTACTTTCTTGGTATTATTTTTTCCTTTGTATTTAAATACACAAATAAATACTTATACAATACGTTCAACATGTAACAGTAAAAAGTAAAAACGAATAATATATCATATTTTCAAACTACTTTTCTCTTTTTTATATATTACTCATATAAAACTAATTGATCTTAAATTATTTGTATATCTTGTTAAATATTAAAAAAAAAATATTAGTACTTGTATAGTATGTTATTATCTTACCGCTACTTTGTCGGTGTAGTATGCTAAATATTGGAAAATATTCCATACCTCTAATTTTCTTATTTATATTTTATATTTTTATTTCATTTAATTATGGAAAAGTACTTGTGACTAGAGCGATTAAGATAAAAAACAATTACTTTAATATCCGTCACAATAACTGGTTAATATCCATCGAAATAGTAAGCGGTAACTTATACATTTTCTAGGATGACGTAAATACAACATTATATGACATATAGCAATATACAACATTTAAAAACACTTGACAATGATGATAATCAGCAATACAAAGAGGACGTTATACTCGCATGTGCTGTCTCTGTGTTACAAGAGCATAACATATTACATTTTACGTTCAGTAGATCACACTTAGCTCGGTTACCTTAAAAATTATAGCGAATTGACCTCTTATTAAAATTAAAGGTAAGATTATAACAGAGGGCTTCTCGATTGCTTTGTATATATTTTAATTTTAAAGAAACTCATGAGTATTTTAAAATTGTAAATTTTACTCATAACTATCTTTAAAATTAAAATATAATAAAAAGCTCACGAGAAGCCCTCTGTTATAATCTTACCTTTAATTTTAATGAGCAGTCAATTCACTCTAATTGTTAAGCTAACAGAGCTAAGCTTGATTTGCTGAACATAAAATTTGACATGTTACGCTCTTGTAAGACGGAGACAACACATGCGGGTATAACGTCCTCTTAAGTACGTTTTAGTTTAATAAATTGTAATTAATTATTATATAAAATACACGGTTTTTGGTAGATGACATTTTACGGTAGTACCCTAGAACATCACACGGGTGCAGTTTTTTGGTTGGTAACATAACTAGGTATCATTGAATCACTTGTCATCTTTTAGGGCATTAATATCTCAGACCTGACAATTATTAATAATATAATAAATACCTAGGTACTCTAACGGCCTTAACAAATTGTTGATGCACCACATACTTAAAAACTATTTTAGCGTATTCTACATAATACCTATACTCTGCGTGGCTTCCACAGCTCTAGTCTACATGTGGGGAAAGCGTCTGACTGTCGCTGACGAAAACTGGTCGCCGCCTGGATCGCTTCTAAACGTGTACAGAGTAAAGGTTCTTCCCAAAATTGATAGTAATTTGAACTTGGAAGTAATACGATATTATAAACGTTGCGGAAAGCCTCTTTTTAATTGGTATTCTACAAGCATTAATAATTTTAAATGTGGTGCCTAATTATTATTATTATTATTATTATTAAATCATTCTACAACAGTTGTTACTAATTTTTAATCTAATATAAAATATTTTAAAACATTAAAATACGTTAAAATATTGAATTTTGATAATCAAAAAACACAGTTATTATTAATATTGCGAATATCTGTGTAAAAATAAAAATTATAGCTTGGATTTTTGGAGCTCTAAGACTCACTGGAACCTCCTTAAATGCCAAAAAATAAGTTCAAAACATAAAATGACTAGTTTGTATGTAAATTAATATTTGGCACGATTAAAATAATATAAACAGGCGTAATTATGACGATTGGAGTTATGGACTGATAAGGTATTGCGGTATAACTGCACAGCTTGAAAATAGATCATAATATTTTAGTATATTAAAGAAATATTAATAATGTGAAACTTATTGGTTTTCTCCGATCACCGATAACTTATAGGTTATCTCGATCTAATTATCGATTGTCGATTGTCATGCATTTGAGGTTATAAACAAAAATAATAATAATTAATATTGAGTATTATATTTTTTAGCTACACATAATGTGTCGGTTACCTGTATAAATATTAAATACTAAAATAGTTTAAGTAATTATTACATGTTGTGTAATTAATTTTTACACTTGGTCTTAAATGTTATATAACAGATACCAGTAGTTGTTGGTACCCGTATCACATTTTCCTGTAATATATTATATTTTAATTAATTACATAAAAGTATTAGGACTATTAATAGTGTCTACTTGGAATTGGTAATTATAGTCGATAAAATAATTGGAAATCCGTCAAAACAAAAAAGTATTCGAGATGACTAACTAGTGCATCACTTTATGTGGGTGTTATTTTAAGTTAATGTAGTTACAAGAAAATATCAATAATAAAATGAATTGTAGAACAAGAAAGATATTGCAAAATAATAAAAACTTGTTTGTAATTATATTATATTATTATATATTTTATTTGCAAATTATTTAACGAATATTGGTGAAGGTTTGGAGAAAATCGGACAATGTGGAATGGCGACTTCATGGTCACATAAATCCAAACAACTATATTTTAATACTATAATATTATATAATTCATACTAAAAGAATTGAAGAATCTAGCTTCTATTATCGTCAGAGTACCTAGAGATACTGAAGATGACATTTGCAATATTTATTTTACCTCATTAATGCTAGTATTTATGATTCCATTGATTTTGTTTTGATTCTATCGCAATTTGTTCTAACATTGACAACAGAGTAACGGACATCAAGTTATGATAGTTCATGATTATTGAGACTGCCTATGATAAATTAGGTATGCAATACTTGTACAATTATATCACTTAATTTTGTAACAGCATTTTTAAACTAATTTCAAATGAATTTCTGTAGATTTTAAGAAAGGTATTTCGTAGGTACATTAATTTCCAAAAAAAATGAATAAAACAGTAAATAATATTAGAACAAGAATTGTTTTTTGAACGATTAAGTTACAATAGTCACATCCAGCATACTCGTTCAAGCGACTCACTTTAAAATACATTTAATTTTTATTGTATTGTTTAATTTTTAATGTAATTATGTGTACAATATACCATGTTTACAAACCCAGTTTAGAGTAATTAATATGATTAAAGAAGTAAAATGTAAACTGCTTGTAGGAATAGTAGAATTGACAACAATTAACTGCAGAGAAGATTGTATTCATTATTTATATTTCTAATATTTTAAAGTTTAACTGGATTTCAGTAACAGGGCAGGAATCAGGTTAGCCCACTGGATTTTTTTAAGGGGAGTAGCCAACAATTTTTATGATACAATTGAAGTATAATTTCTCTACACATTTGATGTTTACTGTTAGAAACGAATATAGGTGGAAGTGGTAGCGTGGTACTTTAGATTGTCAATCATTTTGGAAAATTGTATTTCCTTTCTAGAAAACTACCAAAAAATCCAAGGAAAACAGATTACATATTCTATACACCTGTGAAGAAAAATATATGTTTTGCCCTAATTTTTAGTGTAATATACAAACCTAAATAAAAATTTAATATTTTGAAATTTGGAATTATTTTGTTGTTTATTTTGTTATTTGAGTTAAGATGTTTTCATTATGTCTTTAAAAAAATATATGTTTTCATACGATTGGTTACGAATGGATTTAGCTTGTGAAAAGTTACCACGTGATGTTTATAAATATTATACCTACGTCCTACGTAGAAATATTCTTCAAATTATAACTTGTACAATTTCGATAATGTGGTCTACAATGTTTGGTATACACATTACGTCCAACTGAGTTCTGTTCAATAAACATTTATACCAGTTTTAAATTTCGCGATAACACTAAAATGATTAATTAATCGTCAAGTGGTGCACATATATAATAATATTTGTATAAAATCGTTTTACATCCCGTTTTATTGTATTATTTCTTTTACTGTATAATTTACATCATATATTATGCGCTGTCGTCGATAATAATTTTTCATAGTTTCCACTATACTGATTATTTTACAAATGATTCATCGATTAAATTGAAACTATTGGTATTATTTAATATAAATGCATATGTGTATGCACTGAAATCAAATATTGTTTCGCATCATTATGTAATAGTATAATTTTATAATTAAATTCTAAAGAAGCGGCTTTAATGCTTTATTTTAAACGAAATGTAGGTTGGTTTATGTAATTATATTGTACATTTATTATATGGAGTGTTGTTAAGTAAAGAAGTACTTTTTTCATATACAGGGTGAATTATAATAATTATTCATCGTTTTAGTCATCTAACCTAACACTTAACTAATCACCTGCTCAATAAAATGGTTGATTATAGTGTAGTGACATTTAGGGAGTGGGTACAGATGTAGTAAATATTATTTCTAGAATGCGTAACTGCAGGTTATTATTAATACTTATATTATACAGATAATTAATAGAAGATGTGACCGATTGAAAGGATTTTATTTTAAAAATGCATGAAACATTAGATTTGTTATGTAAAAACGAGGCAGGTAAATGATCTAAAATTTAATTATTGTATAACGTTTTCCTCAACAATATAGTATTTTATCAATAGGTACCTACTACCTATACGTCATCGTTTTAATTTTCAAGTATAAATTTATTAAAATTTGACATCCATAAATATTATAGTATATACTTTAGGGAAAAGTTAAATAGTCTCAGTCGTATTTGATGCATATCAGTGATCACTCTGTATATTTTGATATCTTAAACGTCGACCTTTGAAATGGACAATTATCTACATGCACACACACAATCACAATCACAACAATGGTCGACGTTTGTTGTATAGGTGTATATACACATGCATGTATATATATATATACTTATTTCCGTTGTAAAAGAGTTCGTTATTCTAGATCAATCATTAGATCAAATACCAGCATTTTCATTCGTAAGATTGTAAATTTAACTTCTGATTTCTGTGTATTTTAGCGGCCGCAGTTTTATCTATAATATTATTTGTGTCGTGTTTCGAGTACTTAACAGTTCATATCGATAACTAGTGGATATAATATTATTACATAGTCGAAAGTTCCCGCGTGTTATCGAATTAACTCGTGATCACAACATCATATTATATTGTACGTCGATTTTATTTATACCGACGTTTACCATGTTGTCAAATAGTTGTCATTTACATTTCGGTGCACTCGAATAACCGTCGGTAGTCGTTCCAGCATAATATTATTATAGTATTTACATTTTACCTAAGATACATTTTTTCTACGATGAGTGAAAACGGCATTAACACAACAATATGCGAAAAGGACACATACGGCACGTTCTTCGACGATGCAACTTCCGAAACGTCGTTGTTAAATGACAAGTACGTAACCAACAAAAATATTTTATAATACCATATTGTCATATTGACCAGAGTTATAAAACACTGCACACAATCGAAAACGTGGGAGCAATAACAAGACATTTTCAATTTATACAATTTTTTTAGGAGGCACTTGAAAATGTTTTTAAAATTATATTTAGATCCAACTTTAATTTGTATTAGCAGCAACCAGTGACAAATTGTCAAAAGCAAATTTGTGTGATTTAAAAACTAAGAAATAAATCTTGGAGATGTCTTGTTGTTGCACTAAAAAATAATTAAAAAATATATAAACATACTCCTAATGAATAAATTATTTTTGTTTTTAATAATGTGTAATCAAAAACTAATTTTGACCAAAATATGGAGATGTTGGTGGATTATGTTCTATTTAAACTGTTAATTTTTAATTTTGTACGTTTTAATATAATTTCAATTAGTAGGTTTAGAATATAGTTAATTCAGATACTTAATTCACTTGTAATAAACTATCAGATAGGAAATATGAAGTAGGTATCTGCCTATATGTTCATAATTATTATCTAAATGTGTCGTTTGTACTTAACTGTATTACTTTAAGTTCTGAAAATATATTTTATGATTCTAACTTAATATTTTGTAATATATTTTAAATTATTGTTTAATTTATAAATTTTTTAAAGCCAATAAAAACATTATTAAAATAATGTATTAATATTGAATTATAAATTATAGTAAAGAGAATTATTATCTGTATAATTTTTGTTACTATTTATCATTAGGAGAGCCTTTATATTATGTACTTATTTCTCACATTTTCATAGTATAGACAAACAGCATATAACTAGAAAGACTTTTAATTTAACTTAAATTCTAGGTGTAATAAATAATAACTTTAAACTTAGTAATCATTAAGCTTTTGAATACCACTAAGTCTGATATACTATCAGTATTAAAATGTTTTACATTTATTTTACTATTCGTTATATAGGTACCTCCCACCTATATTGTTTAAAATACTATTTTTAATATGCTAATTGCCAATGATTATCTTTTTATATTTTAACAAGTTAAACATTATATGTAGGTGCCTAATTAATAATTATGTGATGAAAGTATGAAACACGGATTATTTTAATGACCTAGGATTTCTTGAAGTAATTTACGTTGTGGTGAAATAAATCATTGAATCTCGAATGTATTAATTATAAATATTTTAATTTTTAACCATAAGTTTTTTTTATTAACAATTATTTAAATAATTCATTTTAACATTTCATTTCTATTTTACTCATTAAATATATTATTTTAATATTATACATAACGCATTTATTAAATAACTTCTATTAGTTTTTGTTTTATTAATTAAATTATATTTACTATATAAATTTTTGTGCATGTCATCAATAAATTTGTGTATCACTGGACACTGATCATGGATATTTAACAGCTAATTTTATTTAATAATTTTTTCAATAAAAACAAATAGTTAGTAGAATACTTGTATAACTCTTAATTGTGGATATTTAGTTTTTAAATGTATTTAGTATAATTTTTTACAATGTTTGAATTGAGTTGAGAATCTATAAACAATTTTGTAGATTGATCTTAAATATAAATACATTGTACAAGTAATGTGAATAATACATTAATACGTATAATTATTAAAAATCTCAAGTTTAATAGCATTTTGATAAACAAATTGTATTAATTTTAAACGGGACACCACGGGTATTCAGGATATTAATTGAAACTAAAACCATACGGTTATTATAATGATATAAAATTATAGGCATAATGATTTTTTTTTGATGCGCAATAGGCGTAGTGCAAATAGTGCGGTGCACTTTATATTATAATATACTTTAGTAGCAGAAAGTTTAGTTGATAGTCAGTAAAAACCACAGCATTACTTTAAATACATTTTATAAAAAAAAATATTGCACAAGCTGATTTTATAAGTTTAATAAATTTCATCATTTTAGTAAATACATTATCTTCAGGTATTACAAAGATGAATATACTTAATACAAACATGTAACTCTTATAATATAAATTACTTTTTAAGAGTACTTCATATTAAATCATATCTATAGATCTATTTTTATGTTTAAAACGAAAAATTAGGATACCGATGAACATGATGGTATAAAGTACTAGGAACAATACTAGCGAGTTTAAAATGTAATTACACAAGTACATCATTTGTTATTATTACAACTTATTGGATTAATCGACAATTTTTTTATAACTGAGTATTTGAAAACTATTATCAGATTTTTTTAAAATTAATAAATTATTTTTTATAATCATTTTATCTATATTTTCTTATTAACAAGTAATAAGTAATAAACACATGATGACATAATTTATAGTATGTTTTAGCGCGTATCATTGATATGTTAATGAATCGTGGTTGGAAATTATAAAAACATAGAATCATTTTGGTTGTATTATATTAATTAGCCAATATAGGTTAGAAGAACATGATAAACAATTGCTTATAACATAGTTAATCATTTTAAATTAAAGAAGTCTTGCACGAGGATGTCATTTAATATAAACATTTGTTGCTCTTTTTTTACAATATTATATTAAATATTTTTTTTTGACTACTTCAACTATAGTTTTCTTTGTTGTTTCTTGTTTGAGATTTTGAGTGAAGTAAGGAATATATGGCAAGGTCTTACGATGTTTATTTTATTTCCCGTGCACGTACAAAAAAAGTGATCTGAAAGTTTCATGTAGTAAAGACATTTTAACTATAGTTGGTATAATAATGGCATTCCAAAAAGAAAATATTTCCATTTTCCTGTGTGCTTAGTTGCTCTTTATGAAAAAATACATCGATAAAATATTTTTAAGAAATTTCGTTGTGATAGCCGGTTTTAACACTGAGTAACTAGCACTCATACTCGTTTTTAAAATGTGATGATTGATTTTCGTGATTGAGTTTCTTTGCTTTAAAATTGAATACCATAACTTTACACTGTAAATACGCTTTCCTGCGCCGATGACTTGACGATGCACGAATCGCGAAGCAAATGCAGCCTATAATATCTTGTCGATAAAGTGGCTTATTTTAGATTTTTTTAAAAATATCTTCTCACGATATCTGAAATTACATGTCTATTGTTCACTGTGGCTCGTGACCAACTGGCAAGGGTTGCTGAGATGTGATCACTCCCTGCTTTATCATTGACCTCACTAGTTGGGCCTGAAATTGATATTTGGGTTGACATCATACATTCAAAATTGATCTAGGTATACTTAATTAATGAATATTATTAGCTATAATTTATAATATAAATGATATATGTAGCCATATAGGTATTACCGTGGTACTGTCTAACTAGGTAGGTAATATTATAATACATTATGCAGTGATGATGTCTTTTGGTTTTGACTTAAAATATTGAAAGGTGACATACCTATTGAAATAAGTCTGAAAATTCACAAATTTTTTTTAACGAAAGTAGGAATTGGGAATCAATTATTATTTATTGACTATTATGATAGGATGTTATTTAAAGCTTTTTTTCTATTTTGTAAGCACCTCAAACAATTATGCCAATCGGCTATTAGTATTATATTTTGTATAATATGTAATTTTCGAATTATCCATCGATAAGGACGTATTTTAGAATTCTAGTAGTCTTAAAATATTTTAATGCCATAGATCAAATAATAATTAATAATATTTTCACATAATCATTTGTGTTCAACTAAAAGTTTTTTAAATATAATTTCTTATAAATATTTTTTTTTTAGAACAATTGTAAAATCTATTATTTCATTAATTATTAAAAAAATGTTTGTTTCTTAAAAACATTAAAAAAAAATGTATTTAAAATATTAATTATATATTGTTACTGGTAATTGGTTCATATGATAAAAAAATATTTTAATTATTATGTTTATGAAAAGTAAGTCTTTTATTTTCAATTTATGAGATGTACCTATATGAATTCGTTATATTTGGTACTTATAAAGTGTTGCGTAAAGCAAAATAAAAAAGGCATTTTTATATTATTTTAGGTTTACTCGTTGCTATTGACTTCATTAAACATATTTCCAACATAGAATAGTTAAATAATTTTTTTTTCTCGTGAGCCTTTGAAAACAACCGCAACCCGGGGCTCAAGATTGCCAGTCTCTCACTGATGGCTGTAGTAATTATATTTTAATATGATATACACGTCTGATTAACGCATTTTTATTCATGTATAATCATTTTTAAATAAACTATATTGTATTCACTAATTCTAAACGTTAATAGTATTAGCATTATGTATTCTGCATATTGTATTCACTGAATTACTTAAGAAGTATATAATACACAATTGGTTTTTGAACAGAATTGAAATACTTTATAGTTTATATTAAGTATATTTTATTCTAACGTAAGCGTAATTGTTTTTCATTATAGTTGAAAGTGTTGGTAAATTTAAGACAATAAAATTAGACCATTTAAAGATTAACGCGTCTATATCATTAAGTAGTTGTTTAAATGTATTTTTTTGTTTTGTAACTGTACCTTTATTATAAGTATTCTTTCTTTGTCTATATGTGTTACACATAATCATAATATTTGAAATACCTAACAATATTGTTTGTGATTAACAATATACATTTTATATGTAAAAAATGTTTGGTGTTTAGTCGTTTATAAAACAATTATAGCTTAGAATAGGCGCTTATATTTGGGTAATAGTTCTAACTTTGACCAAATCTATAGTTTTTGATAATATTATGTTTCAGTTTAACTAAATTAAATGTATATTGGGCAGTGGTTATGTAAATGCGAACCATTTTATTGTGTAAAATATTGATCTAAATAATAACGTATGAACTTATTTATAAAATATATGTTATTGTTTAAACAGATATGAAACGCGTAAAAAAAAAAATATTCTACCTACAGTTATTAGTTAGATTTCTTTTATTTGAAAGGAGAGAGCAGTATATGTTTTATGAATTATTATGTCTAAAGTTAAATATTCATTTTTATATGTTCGTAT